GCAATGTCTGCTCTACCTGTCTTGTCAAGTGATGAGGAGGTTTGTTTACATTAGATCACAGCAGCAAATCCATAAATCCTAAAACACTGTTGTCTCATGTAAATTGACATTGTATTATCAAGTATAAAATTTGGAGATGAGAATGTTTTGTGGATTGAACACTGTTTTAGTGAAGGAGGCATCAAAGAAGCTTTTTTTAAACAAAATGGAAAATAGAGAAAACAATTTTGACAAAGAACAAAGATGTGAATGCTTTTAAAGGTTTGTTGGTGTCCGGTTTAGTGAGTGTTTGTTTGTAGAGGACTTAAATGCAGAGAAAGAAGCAGAGATGGTTTCTTGCAGATTTAATGATGAAGTTGGTGGCAACAGAAGCATGAATGTGGACTAAACAGACAGGGAACTCAGGAACCAAGACAAATAGACACTTGGGATAAACATACATATAATATGAAGAGAATCAAACACTGAGTAACTGCCAGTGTTATTTTTAAAAGCCATATTAGTTTAGTCTTTGTTTTCGTCTTCATGACGAAAACTATTATTATTTTTTGTACCACTTTTGTCATTACTATATGTGATAGTTTTGTCAAGTACCGTATTTTCACGACTATAAGGCGCACTTAAACGTCTTTTTTTCCCCTCAAAATGTGCGGTGCGCCCTATGGTGCGGTGCGCCCTATGTGTGTTGTAACTGCGACTTTTGAGACAACCTCATTGAGGAGATGATGAAAGAGTGGCTGAATGTAAGGAGACCAGCTGTTTTTTTTCCACTCATCACCATGAATCTGTAACTCCATGCTTGCCCATCTCACAGCTGATGTGAAAAACATGGGGAAACAAATTAACCCTGTGCTCGCTGTTCAACCGCTCAACATCGGTGTGAACCGGACCCAGCAGGTGCAGCAGAAGCAGCGAGTTTACATGCAAAGTCAATGGTTGACGCGCGTATAGGTGCAGCAAAAGGTCCTGCAGCGCGTTTTGAGCCGCAGGTGCAGCACGTCGGGATCGTTTAAGCATCTGACGCACCGCCAACGCGCTGCTGCTGCTCGAGATGGAAAATTTTAAGTTTTGCTGCTGGACGCGCCGCATCAACCAATCAGAGAAGCTGATCTGGGAGCTGACAGCGAGACAGACACTGCGCTCTGATGAAAGAGGAGATGATGAAAGCGTGGATGAGCGAGGTGTAGCCTATGTGAGGAGACCAGGTGTTTTTTTCCACGCATCACCATCGCTGCGTGCCCATCTCACAGCCGATGTGAAAAAAAAAGGTGAATCAATAAACGCTGTGCTCGCCGTTATCCCGGGGGTCTGACAAAGGAACTTCAACCGCCCAACATCGGTGTGAAGCGCCCGTTCAAAGTAAGGCTGCGAGCGGCGTGGGAGCGATGGATGACCGACGGAGACCACAGTTTCAGGATAAGTGAAACGCAGCGCCGGGCAAGTTACGCCACAGTTTGCGGATGGATTGTAGATGCTTGGAATAACGTGTCTGCTGGCTCTGTTCTTCAAGCTTTTGCAAAAGCCGGCATTATTTCTGAGGAGCCGCGCTGCACGGAAAGTGACTGACAGCGCAGAAGGGGAAACTGGCATGTCTGATTTAGCGCAGCTGTTTAATTCAGAAACAGAGGATGATGACTTTGATGGGTTTGATTAATACTTTGTAATAAATACATGAATAAAGCACAATCATACTCAGTTTTGCTCCCGCTCTATTTTTCTACCTGAAAACTTAATTCAACAGCAGCCTCTGAGCACGTCTCCTCCTCTTCACCGCGGCGGCTGGCAGGTGTTTTTTCATCTAAATAATCTTAATCTTGCAGCTATATTTGCTGTGATCAGTGGGAATAAAGTAGTTTTAATATGTTTTTAAGTGAGAAAGTCCACCTGAAAACGTCATAATTGCAGTCAGTTCATCCAGAATATCTATTTCTGTCGGAGGCGCTCAGACCCCCACATACCAGCGGTGCACCGACAGCAGAAATCCTTTCGTTCACCGCAGCTGCTGGCAGGTGTTTTTCATCTAAATAATTGAAACTGCAGGCACCAGGATACCGGTAATAAAAGCGAACATATTCTGTCGGCAGGTTTCAGGATTTTAAGTTAATTTAGGAGTGACCACAGCGCTGTGTCATCTGCGATGTGTCTGTCTCACGGCCAGCTGCCAGGTTTGATTAATACTTTGTAATAAATACATGAATAAAGCACAGTCATACTCAGTTTTGCCCCCGCTGTATTTTTAAATACGCAGTAGAGGTATTTAAAGGTAGTAGAGGACATGTACCTGTATATAAAAAACGCGCCCTATAGTCCGGTGCGCCTTATGTGTGTGTTAAATACAGAAATGGGACACATAACTGAGAGTGCGCCTTTTAGTACGGTGCGCCTTATGGTCGTGAAAATACGGTATTAGTCAACTAAAACTCAAAAAGGTTTTAGTCTAGTTTTAGTCAGTTTTATTTTGCAATTCATAAAACAGTTAACCTTTACAGAGTACTTACATAATTGTCTAATAATGCCATGGCAATCCGGACCTAAATTTCAAGAATATGTTAACTTTAATGTTTAAATATTCAAATGGAAACAGAGAAACTGTTTTAATGACAATGCAAGGAAACATTTACATCATATTTAAATAGATAGAAAAATAACTATATTTCATCGTGGTCTTTATCCAAAAATAAACAGTATGCAATTAACTATTTTCTTTGGATATATTTTAGGGATTCCTTATGGTAGAAATCAAAGGTCATCTGTGGTCATGCAGAATGTGCACCGCTGCAGTTGGGCGGCATGAGCAAACAGGACGCAGCAGCACGGCTGATTGTCTAACAGATTTAAAGGTGCTACGCTGTCCTCATCAGATGAGGGATCATCCAATAAATATTTAAAAAGATCTTTTGCCTGAAAAAGTGGGAAAAAGAATTAATGCAATGATGGACAGTTAATGATTAAAAAAAATGTGTATATGGACCTTGGATAGGTCATTATTTGTTAATTGTTTAAGGCAGTACGAATGCCAGACTTTTATACAACTTGTGAAAAACTGTAAATGGATAAACATATACTAGCACCTAATTTTAGTTTCAGTTAGAAAAACTGGACATATATTAATGATTTCTTTTAAAGTGCAAAGTTGGAATTTATGTAGAGAAATTAATGCATTTAGTTTTAACAGGTTAAGTGACACCAGCCTGGAGAGAAATATCAGCTGTGCTGCTGTCATCAACACCTTTGTTTATAGATGTTGGAGATTGGCCTGTTTTTCCAATGCAGTCCTGTTTTTCTGATTAACTGGCTGGATGCGCTCTCTTTATCCTCTGACATGGGAGCTTGTCTGCCTGGCTGTGTGTTTCCTGGACGGGGCCACCTTTTACAGCTGCTTTTTGTATCTCTGCTTCTTTCTCCTTGAACCCCAGTCGGCCTCGGCAGATGGCCGCTCACACTGAGCCTGGTTCTGATGGAGGTTTCTTCCTGTTAAAAGGGAGTTTTTCCTCTCCACTTTCGCTACAAGCATGCTTAGAGTGAGGGATTTCATCCAAGTCAATGAGTCGATACAATTAACTGGTTTTCCTTCGATAGAAAACTTTAAATTAATTTGACTGTATGATCTGGTGAAATGCAAAATATCTCTAGATGACATACGCTGTGAATTGTCACTTTATAAATAAACTGAATTTAATTGAAAAGTTTAAAAGTTCTCATGTTATTTTGAAATCTATTACTGCTTTTAAAGTTATCATTATTTAATAAATTGAATTGTATTTTAATCCATACACTGTAATTTCTGGCCTATACATCATGGTGGATGACTGGTTAGAAGCTCGTTAAATAGAGGGCAGGAGCACGTGATCATCTGATCCAGGAGCAGGTGGATCAGATGAACGGTAATGAGAAACTGGACGGAGTTAGAAAGGTGAATGAAATGAGTAATTAAACCAAAGTCAATAAAGTAATAAAGCCAAGTGATTAAGCCAAGTCAAAGTAATATATTGATTTTTCACATCAAGAAGAAACTGGCTGGCTCTCAGAGGTGTGTGGTTGTTGAGGAGATCACATAGATATGATGGAATCAGACTCTTTAAAAGTGATTAATCAAATTTTTATATTCATGTGATTACAGAAGAAGCCATTGAAGAGACTGGAGTTATGTGTTCATCCTTCTTTGCACCTATTTAAAGACAAGCTGCAGTGATGAACTATTTGTAAACGCTGCAGGGATGACTGATCCAGCTCCACATATACAGGGTTACATTAGTCCAGATAAGAAGGGATTCATGAATAACTAATCTAAAATAGGTTTATATACAAAAAAACCTCAATTGTTGCACTTGAAGATGTTTTACCCTTCATTTGAAAAACTTTCTTCAGACCTTCTGAGGGAGAAGTTCCAGTATTAAATCTGTTTGAAGAGAATCACCAGAAATCACATCAAGGAGGGCTCTCCTCTAAAGACCTTAGGTGTACTGGATGATTGAAAACCTTCACCAAGAAGCTTGAAGGACCTTCTTGAGATTCCTTTGAGGAGATAGAGGCTTCACTTTATCAATGAGCAAAAGTTGACAAAAGCTTTACTTAATAACAACTATATTCAGTTGATCCAATTAAAGAGAACTAGAAACTTTAGAACGTTTAGAGACTTTTTAATTAGGAAAAGGAAAAATACCAACATGAAAAAAATCTTTCAATAGACAGTCTGAAATAATTCTATTCAACTAGAGCTAAGATGTTGGTTTGCAGTGAAGCAAGTGTAAAATATAAGAGTAAGTGGAGTTAAAACAGTTTAAAAGGTCTGCAACACTTATTTTACAGAATAGATGCAGGTTCCAAAGGAAGGAATCATTAAAAATTGTAAAAAGGCTCTGAGGACCGATAACATGCACACTTTATCTGTCACAACTTTTTTATTGCCCGGTATGATATTTGAAATCATCACAGGCAGATCAACTGATAAACAAGAATCATAGATACTCTTTTTTCACATTTCCTGTTCATATTCTGCAGTTTCAGCCGTTGTCATGTGATCAAGTAGAACCATATCTGTGGAGCCACACAGCAGCTGAACCATTTTATTGCCGGATTTAAAGATGGGTCGCACTTTCCTCTGTGTGCTGGGCTTATTGTGTAAGTACATCACTTTTCCCCTTTGAATTGTGGAGATAATAGATCATCTTTAAAGTCTCAAGTACAGAAAACTACAGCTTTGAAATACTGTTCATATTTAATAACTTCACTTTGGTCCTGGAAACTTTGAACATGTCAGGAATGCCTTCATGATAAGATTTTTGGACCTTTTCATTTACTGAAAATGTTTAATCCTAATTGATGTAATTGATCATATAAAATTTATATAACAGGAAGAATTTATATTTTGAGTTTCTCACTACAATTCCAACATTGAACAGCATCAGCACCTACTGATCCCACATTTGAATGATATATTTCAATGTATGAAGGTAGGAAGAGGTGAAATGTTGATATATATGCATAGAAAGCAGCCAGTCTTGTGGCTCCTGTTGTCTGAATCCACTGTTATATTGACTCTATTTCATAATCAGGAAATGAGGAACAACTGAGGACATCATTTTTCTGACATCACCAGAAGGGCTGTAATCTGAGTTTTCCTCCATGCTGTACGACTCTGACACCTGCTGTTCCAAACTGCTCTCTGCTTCCTCACCTTAGATCAGACTCAGAGCCTCTTCATAGTAAACTTTGCTGCCAGAACTTCAGTCACTGAAACTGCAGCTCGGATGATTTTATGATCTTCTAGGGATTTCAGTCTTGTTTTTGTCAAGGTCAGACATTCTGTACATACGCAATATGAAGTCCATGAGGAACAGAGGTCATATAGAGGTCAATAAGAACTGGTGTTGCGCAGATGTCATTTTTTGGCCCCGATACCTGGCTGTGCAGTATCGGCCGATACTGATACCATAATAATGTAAAATAGTTGCCATCATGGCTTTGTCAAGCTGCTGCCTACCTTTGTGAAGCAGGAAAAAATCTAATACAAAGTGAATCCAGTAGAACTTTTTATTGCCTACCAGGAGTGGGTGACAATAGCTGAATGAACTTATGGCTTTCAAAATGGTATCGGTGCCCTATTTGTTGGTACTCGCCGATACAGATACCACCATTTTAGGGCAGTATCGGGGCCCCGTCCGATACTGGTATCGGTATCGGTGCAACACTAGCCTAAACACAGAAAGGACATCCACACCTAAAATGTAATAAAGTGTGTGTCATGATGGGTTCACTAAAGGAGACCCAGTTATGCAGAACACCACTGACGGACACAAGGATGAAAAGTTGAACAGTTTATTAAAGCGCAACACACACAGAATGTACTGATTCTGGTTCTGGTCTGGGTTCTGGTTCACCGCAGTCTGCGTGAGAGACAGCACAGTTAGTGACTGCTGACAGGGTTTGATTTCCACAGGTTAACTGTTTGTACCTTGAGGGTTCTTGAGGTTTACTTAGGGAGAGTCACTGTTGGTTCTGGAGAGGGGTTTGTCAGCAGAGTCCGTTTGCTGCTTCAGCGTCTCGCGTCTTAGCTTGAACAGACCTTGGCTTGATTTCCCAGCTCTAGTCCAGAGCTGCTTGGGGGTTCTCTGTGAGTCTTCAGGGTTTGGCTCAGAGGGTCGGCTCGGCAGGTTAGCTCTTCCTGAGCTTTCACAGAGGAGGCACAGGTTTCCTGGAAAACAGAGACAGTAGTTAGAATCCAGACTGGATGGAGATACACTGAGAATCTAGGCTTTAGCGCTGACCAACTGGAACAACACTGCGGCGTTGAGGCAAGGTCTGAAGACAGCTTATATAGTGGATCCTCTGATGGTCTTGATGAGCTGCAGCTGTGCAGGAGGCTCCCTCAGAGGATCCACAGCGGACTCTGCTGGAGAAAGATGGAATTTCTCCAGCTCCCAACAGTGTGGTTGGTTTGCTCATTCAAATTCAAGCACTTAAAACAAAATAAACCCTGATTTGAGGCTGTGAGCTTCAGATACTGGCCAAGACTCATTGGACATTCAAAGACTAACAGGCTCCTCTCTCTGCAGGAACCTGGGCTAAAGTGATGGGATCACAGACAGATTACATAGATGCTCCATTTGACCCACTTTACTGAATGTAAAATACATTTAAAAGATAAAGTTCAAACTTGGGCTTTAACTCCATAAGTAAAGAAGAGATGCAGCAGTAGATTTATGATGTTTCTTTACTGTGGTTTTGTTTCCTTTTGCTAACATCTCACAGAATGTCCTTCCTTCTTTTTTCAGGTCTCAGTTTCCTCCTCTGCTGTGGAAACAATCCGGGTAATAGAACATTCTTCTCTCTTTACTGATTACTGGAGCTGAGAAGCTTGTCTGAATTCTTCATTTGATTCATTCATGATTCTCGTCTTCTGCTTCTGCATCATCATGTCACACAAGTAACATTTTCAGCAGAGAAACTCAGACATCTCTTTCCTCTACCTATATCCCATTTATTGAGATGATGGTGGTAGAATTGATTTAATGAGAGTCTGAGCCTCAGAATCACTGACTACAGTGAAATACTCTGATGATCATCAATAGATGTAAACTTTGATTTTTGATTTATTCTGTTGCCTTTGGATCATCAAAACTATAAAGATGGACCAGAGAAAAAAAAGAGTGGAAGGTTGTTAGATTATAATTATCTTTATTGTCCAGATGAAATCAGACATTTATGTAAAATCAATGGAGGAAAAGATGCAGATATATATTTTCTTGAAATGAAGTGACTCTAAACATTTCACTGTTTCTTTCAGAAAAGATGATCAGATTTATTTTATCTGCTAAGTGATTAAGGTCATTGTCCATTTGGAAGTCATCACCAAAGGTTTAACTTCATCACTGATGATTTAAAATCTAAATTCACTATTTTTACCTGATATCCTTTCATCATGATACCATCTAAATGATTTCTACTACAAGCTTTAGCTAATTTCTCTCAAGGTCCTTTCTATTGTGTTTTATTTATATTTCATTAATAGCTGGAGAAAACAGTCATAGGTTTCCTTAGTGAAGTGGGATTGTTGAGTGTAAGGGCTGTTTGGATCCCAGAAAGATAAAATTTCATAAAACAGATCTGCTCTTTCTTCAGCCTTTGAAGAAAATAGATGATTATCTTTAAAATAGAAACAAAACATTTTAGTGTTTTAATATATTCTGTCTTAGAGGGTTAATACAGAAAAAACTAGGTTACGTGTCTTTACTAATAATAAAATAAACTATTTCTTCTGTTCTCTAAACAGAACCAAGTTCTTCCCTGACTGTGTCTCCATCATGGCTGAGTCCTGGAGCCTCAGTTAATCTGAGCTGTAAGGTTGATCCTCCATCTACAGGATGGAGGTTCTACTGGTATAAAGCTGTTCCTGATCGATCACAGGAGGACTACAGATATGAGCTGCTGGCTGACAGCATCAATGGGACTGTAGAGGACTCCTTCATCATTCATGGACAGAGACACACAGCAGGATATGCATGTAGAGCCGGAAGAGGAAACCAAGAGAATTTAACTGATTACAGTGAACCAAAGTTTGTCTGGTCTGAAGGTCAGTGAGATTCTGTTTAAACTAACAGATTTTATGTAATTAATTCTGTTATCTTAATATCTCTGATTATTTTCTTCAGCAAAATTATTGATAAAAACTATTGTGAAAATCTTGCTCTCATTCATCAAAACAATTTAAATAAAAAAGTATAAAAAAAAAAAACAAAAAAAAAATGGAGGCTGGAAATATATTAGCAATACAAGTTTTATTGTTGAATCTAAAGGCTGGATGGACAGGGTTCCAGAAAAAGTGAAAATAAATTTAATTGCTATTTGAAAGAAAATGTGACTAATTTCATAGCTTGAGTTCTTAGATTCTCAGGATTGAAGATACACCAATGCTCCTTCATTCACATCTGTGAAATGATCTGATGAAAGGAAAAATAAATCCTTTAAACAACAACAAAAAAGAAATTGTATCATTTTTCTTTTTTTTTTCTATATTTTAGATTCTAATCCAGCAGCGTCTCTCACTGTGAGTCCTGACAGAGAGGAACATTCACCTTTTGATGAAGTCCAGCTGATCTGTGAAGGAAGCTCTGCTGAGTGGAGAGTGAGGAGATTTATAAACTATTATGGTTTAAGTGCAACTAATTGCTCCTTCTGGGAGAAAATGACTGGATCTGTTTGCACCTTAAAATATGACTGGAAGTGGGACCCTAAAGCAGTTTACTGGTGTGAGTCTGCATCAGGAGAGTTCAGCAATGCCGTCAACATCACTAGTACGTTTATTTCCATGTTGTTTTCTCCTGAGTCCTGGAGGTTTTCTCTTTACTTTTATTTTCTTTTACTATTTTTATGAAGTTGACAATTTCAGCAACTTATTTGCCTATTGTTCTGTTTAGTAGTTATGAACTATATAGCAGTCATTCCGTAAAAATTCAAAAAATATCCACTGGACTTGGTTTCCAAGATTTGAAGACGTTTCGCCACCTCTCCAGGAAGCTTTCTCAATTCAAATGTCTGGATCCGCAGTCTTGTATCGCTTGGAAACATGCAAATGGTAACCAATGAATGGGTCCTTTGATTCCATCGTTAATATCTGAAACCTGTTAATGATTCTGAGGGTCGGTCGTGAAACGGGGGGTGGGGGGGTGGGGGGGGTGGGGCTGGGGGGATTGTCTCCTGTAATACCTGAAACCTGTCTATGATTGTTAAGAGTCGGTCGTTAAGGAGGCATTGTTCCCCGGCTGGAGCTGGTAGGTCCCTCGTCCCTCTGTGCTGGGGTGGGGGGTTTGGTGATATCTGGAAGGGATCATGTCTATGATTGAATTGTATATATATGTGTATGTATGTATATATATATGTATATATATATATGTATATATATATGTATATATATATATGTATATGTCAGTTTGATCAACTCTTAGGATTTCGATTTTTGCCTTTTAAAGTTTTGTCTGGTTGTTTTTGTTTTTCTAATGATCACAATGATGTTCAGATCTAAATCACTTCAAGTAGGTCACATGTCTTTACTATTAGAAAAATATATATTTTTTTGGTCCAACAGGAATAAGGGTTTCCCTGACTGTGTCTCCATCATGGCTGAGTCCTGGAGCCTCAGTTAATCTGAGCTGTAAGGTTTATCCTCCACCTACAGGATGGAGGTTCTACTGGTATAAAGCTGTTCCTGATCGATCACAGAAGGACTACAGACCTGAGCTGCTGGCTGACAGCATCAATGGGACTGTAGAGGACTCCTTCATCATTCATGGACAGAGACACACAGCAGGATATACATGTAAAGCTGGAAGAGGAAACCAAGAGATTTTAACTCGTTTCAGTTTTCTAGAGTTTGTCTGGTCTGCAGGTCAGAGTTTATTTTTCTACCAATGATCATGTGTTTAGGCATCACCTTCATTTCAGGATATTTACCAACCTCACGTCCCTCTGATTTCATGTTTAAAGTGTTTACTTCACAGATTGGATCAAATCAGGTTGACAAGTAAATTATTTAAACAAACTTGATGAATCCTTGAATCTCTAAGTGAAAATCAGGTTTATCAACCAGAACTTCATCCATTGTTTGAGTTTATCTCAGATTAAGAAATAAATAAATAAAGTGTTTGGAAAGGGAAAAAATAAAGGAGAGGATGATGGGCTAACCACTGTGAACGCTGTAAAATGAATTCATTATTAATACTTGCAGTATTATTAGTTTCATGATCAACTTTAAATATGCGGATAAAGACTCTTTAGGTTAGTGGGAAAGTCTGACTGTGAAGGAAAACACTGATGAGATTAGTAGTGTGGAAACAAAATCAAAAATAATAATCTTATCTTCTTTAAGAGAAGAAATCTATGGCAAAACATAATAAAATGTTGTAATCTGAAAAAAGAATTTGAATTAATGAGATTTTTTCTTCTCTTGTTCATGTTGATTGTTTTTTCCATGTGGGTTTCCAGATGCTCATCCAGCTGTGTCTGTCTCAGTGAGTCCTGACAGAGAGCAACACTTCACCGATGAGTCTGTAACAGGGAACTGTAGAGGAACCTTTACTCATTCCAGAGTGTGGAGGGCGTACAAAGATGGTCCCATTTGGTTAAGTCATACCTGCCTGGACTGGGAGACGATGAATGGATCCTGTATCTTTAACCTAAAACTAGAAGAACCAAAAAAATCCAGTTTCCAGACAAAAGTGTTCTGGTGTGAGTCTGGATCAGGAGAGTTCAGCAGCTCAGTCAACATCACTGCAGTCGGTATGTTATTATGTTTGTCTCTTTCATTTATTTTAGCAGCTTGATTACTACATGAAACAAGTTGCTCCATTGGTCATATTTTAATCTGTTTTCCTCGTCGATAGTCACAGTTGTACAGATCAAGGCGCGCTCCCGCGACTGGGGATGCATATCTTGGCAGGGATGCACTTTTCAGCATAACACCTGTTCTCGGTCCGCTAATCAGTGACCTCTGCATTAAACTGAAGCCAAGGAATAGAAAGTACAGATACTTGTGTGAAAATGTAATGAGTAGAAGTCAGAAGTAAGAAGAAAGATAAGTAATGGAGTAAAGTTTAGATACCTAAAAAGTTTACTTAAGTACAGTAACAAAGTATTAGTACTTCATTACTTGACACCTCTGTTAACATACTAATAAGGTTTAAAAACATAATGATATTTATACTTTTTGAACGTTTTGTTGTTTCTGTTTCATCACATTTTAAACTCATCTGTAGTTTTAAATTCAGGTCAGTTCCAGAGTTTCCTTTAATATCAGGTTGTTGCTTCATAGTTTCTCAGTAACTGTGTGATCTATACTTTCTGATAAATATCTGATACAGGTACTTTATTGTTCATTTGACTTTTTAAAATGATCTTTTAATGTTTTAAATTGTTCCCTGTGGAGACTGAGATAAAATGCCAAACAGGAATGAAAATAATCCTGTGTTCAGATTGTTCTCACTAACCTCTTCTAAAGGTCTGCAGCAGCTGATTTCTGACTGAAACTTCATATTCTGACTGTTTTCCAGATGGAGATGTTCTCCTGGTGAGCCCCGTCCATCCTGTGACTGAGGGAGCTTCTGTTACTCTGAGCTGCAGACGCAGAGGACAAAATACACTTTCCAATGTGTTTTTCTATCACAATGACAAACTGGTCCAAAATGACAGCAGAGGGGAGCTGAAGATCTCTGCAGTGTCTCAGTCAGACGAAGGCTTCTACAAGTGTGAACATTCAGGAAAAGCTTCACCACAGAGCTGGATGGCAGTAAAAGGTGAGCAGAGCTGAAAGAATCAATGATTGGATTCAGAATAATATTGATATTGTTTGGAGTTATTTTCTCCTTATTTTCAGCAGCTGGAAGTTCTTCATTTCATGTGATGTGGGTCATTAGACCAGTGATTGGAATCGTTCTGATAATTCTGCCTCTGCTGGTGTGTCGGTTCAGACGCTCCAAAGGTCAGACTCTAATATTGTAATATCTAATGTTTCACTCTTTCATTCTCCAAACAGAGCACTCCCCCATGTGGACTAAACTGAAACAGCAACACCTAAACTTAGTGGATGGAAGTGACTGAATAATGATAATCTGAGTCTTTAGAACATTTATAATTAGCTTATTACAGCTAATAACACTTATTCAAATTTATTTATAGTAAGATTTGAAATGGAAAGAAAAAGTCTTTCTATTCAATTACATTTTAGTTTTTCAACTAACTCTACAAATAAGTATTTAGGTGAAAGAAAGCAGTGAGCTCAGATGTAGAGTTACTAACTGTGGCTCTGAACCTGAAGCAGGTCTGTTGTAGCTACAGTTAGCTTTGGTCTCCATGTTTGCAGCAACATGTTTTACATTCAGTTGATTCTAGACTTGAAGTGCTGCAGTAATCAAGCTGAGTATCTTCTTCAAACTGGAAAACAACATTTAGGGCCATTATTGCCACCTATAGATCTCATTGAACATCTCAGAGGCCCTGAGCTGGACTGTGAACACCCCCCAGGTTATTAAAAAGGCCCAGCAGTGTCTTTTCTTCCTCAGAACACTGAGGAGGAACTAAATCTTTCTGTGGCCTCACTAGTTTCATTCTTCCTTCCTGATGTCCTCACTGCTCTCCTCTATAGCAGATACCATCACCCACCTCATGTCTGTCTCCTTCAATTATATTTTTTTAATTTTTTTATATATATAAATGATATTCAAAAATAAATCACTTGGTATTATGTGGCTGTTCCTTCACTTCCACCAAATATCAGACCAACCTGTTGCCTTCACACCTCTATGGAGATTCTTTCTCTCCTTATTCTCTCCATCCTCTCAGCTGAATGACCTGAATTTTGTGTTAAGGAAGTTTAAAGAATACAGCAGTCAAACCACATAGAAATAAGATTAAAGTTTTATTTGAATGATTTGTTGGATATCAGTTATTGACTGAATGCTGCATCTGGTCTAAGTTATCAGATACATCACAGCACTGTAGGGCCGTGGTGGAAAGTAACAAAGTAAATTTACTTGATTACTGTACTTAAGTACTTTTTAAAGTATCTTTACTTTACTTGAATAATTTTTAGGGGGAGTACTTATAACTTTCCCTCCACTACATTTCAAAGTCAAATATTATACTTTCTACTTCAGTCCATTTCTAGGAAGCTGTTAGTTACTTGTTCCTTTTGGCTCAGCTTAGCTTTGTAATCCGTTGTTCTCGTTTTTCTTTTTTTGAAATGCAATTTGAACATGAAAGCGAGCAGCCCTTAAGACTGAATATGGACACCACTGATTTAGATTAGCATGAAATTCCATAAATGTGACAAACTCAGGGCTGATATTATTTGTAGTTTATAACGTTATTATGGCGTTAGTTGTTGCCATGTGGCCAAGTTCTTCAGTAGGATGAGTTCTCAAATCAGAGTTTCTGTTTCTTGGTGGTAATAGAATCAACCATAACCCTCTTTTCCATAGTAAAATTGTGAGGATTGAGTTTGTTTTGTAAATAAGAAATAATGATCATAATAGATGTTCTTATTTTTGTGTCCTTTTTATGCTGAAGTTCTTTACAGGTGGTGTAGAATTTGTAACAGAGTGGTTCTAGGCATCAATACATCAGGTAGTTTCTGAAAGTTACAAGTTCTTAAGAAATGATTCTAAAAATAACACAGAAATGTAAAGTTAGACATTTTTATTTGGATGTTTGAATACTTGGTACTACTAAGTATTACTGTGACTACAAAGTACTACTGTGGAGTACTTCGTCCACCACTGCTGTAGGGTTATACCTGAGTTATTTTCTTTATTTGGAAGAAAATTAAAATTATGTTTATTTTTTTTTCTGTAAAAGGTATCAGAACAGCACAGACTGTCATCCAGGATGACCATCAGCAGCAAGTGTACTCCTCTCTCCTCCATGGTCAGTCTGTCACTTTTCTCTGAATGGTTCCACAAATATGGAATATAGATTATATTCCCATTATATTTTTATCATTTTATCTTTAACACTACTAATGACCTTTGTGTTGACTTGGGAAATTAACAGAAAAATCAGAATGCATTCATTCAAACTTCTATGATCAAATGATTTTATTTTCTTATTGAAGACTGCATTTATAGAAGAGTAAATCTCAATGTGAATGCTATAATATTGCTGTGAATTTATTTCAGTCTAGTCTTATTTAGCTTAATTAGCCACAGATCAACATAGATAAGGATATTTCTAACTTTTAACCCGTTCAAACTCTATTATAAAGTATTGTTGAAGCTCCTATTTATTCAGCTCTGATCATATTTTTTTTTTCTGTTTCATTGTTAAATCATCCAGAATAAATGTTAGGAAGCAGTAATAACCATCAAGCTAATTACAGATGTATCCAACTAGATTCAAATATAACTCAGCAACTTCCCTAAATAAGAATGAGATTTTATTGCTTTAGAGATTTTCTGTCTCTTGTTCTGACTGAGGCATCTAATAATTCAAACAATAATAGCAGGATTGAGGTAACATGTGTGAAATAGATGTAAAGAGGTGGTTCTAATGTTCTGTTTACATCAGTATCACTGACATTAAGGCAGATTAGTTTAACTGTGTGATTTCCACTTTCCTGTAGGAGATCTTGGTCTCTATGAAACAATCAGAGGGTCTGGAAACTCTGGAAATGGTTCAGTATAAATGTTAATAATCAAATAGCTGCTGGAAGCATGGAATTATACAGTAACTGTGATAAACAATGAACTCAATGACAAAATTATAATTTCAGGTCAAGAACAACAGGATGGTACTAATGTGACTGCAGGGTCAGACTAACCTGGAACATTTTTTCTAGAGGGGTGAGTTCACTAAATCTGGAAGTAATCAGGATCAATAGTTTGTAGAAGAGATGATTTTGCTGTTTGACACTGATGCAGGAACTGTTTCTACATTTTTCCTTTAAAAACCTTTGTTTGGTTCTGTTGTTCAATCAGGTCCTGTCTAGACCTAAACATCTTTGATCTGGGTTCAAATCCTTTGGCTCCTCAGAACCTACCATGACAGTAGTATCAGCGGCACCAGGATGAAGTCCAGTCATCTGAGAGTTTTCCTTCTATCCAGCAGCTTTTGTCATTAAGCATCAAAGACTTTATTTCACTGTTTTCAGTTGTTGATTCAGATTTAGTTTCACATTCAAAAACAAACATCCATCATGAATAAATTTCGGAGGAAATGAAAAAAAAAAACATGTTGGTAGTTGTAGAAAGTTAGTTTCTATTGTAAAGAAATGTATTTCCCCATGCTTAGCTTTCATGTTTACATGAAACTTAAACATTGTGTGTCTAATGTTGTTTCTTAGGGGGTATCAAATCGGTTTACCCCCACCTTTCTTTGGGACTGTGTCCAGAGCCTGAACAGGGAAAATATCTGAACAACTGTTGTTTTAACCAAGAAGTCTGACTGGAGTTTTACTGATTGATTCTGCCACAAAACAAGAAAGCCTGGTTGCATTGAACTTGCATTCCTAAAAATTAAATAAAATAGGAAATTTAAGGTTATTTCTTTTGTAAATACTGAAATGCTTCAACATTATTGCAGCTACATCAATTATATTGCAAGCAAAAAGTTTAGCTATTTTATCACACAGGTTAACATTTTGTCATTTTAAAGTGAGCGAAAGATTTTGTTCAATGGTTTTATGTGTTTTAATCATTTCTTAATAATTTTTTTAAAGCTTGCTTTGACAAGGTGTGAGATGTTTCATTGTAAACTTCTTTTTTTTTTTTCTTGTATTATCATCACAGTAATTGAGTTCTCTTATTCTTATATATATATCTGTCTAAAGCAGTACATAAGGAGAAAGAAAAATCATGTAATGTAATAATATCTTTGCTGCATAAGAGGTTGGATGCTTCAGATTTTGGCTAATTCATAATCTGTTATGTATTTTAGATTTTCAACTTGATAAAGAGATAAGTGTTTTCATGTGGCTTTAAAGACTTATTTATTTATTTATTTATTTTTTTTTTTTTTACAAATTTGGTTTATTTGTATTTTATAAAACAAACGTTTTCATCAGTTTTAAAGGATTCTGCTGTAATTTTTTGTTAGAATGTGATTTAAATGGCTGTAAGAAATAAGGAGCTTAGTTAATATTTTAAAAAATAAGTAAAATAAGTTCCCCTTGATGTTGCCACTCCTTCAACAAAACATCTGTACATATTTATGCCAATGTCTCTGTTTGAACTATAAGATCTACCTTTGTAAGTATTTAGCCTAATAATTTTTTTTTTCTATGTTTCATATTTTTTGTTATAATTGTTGTTGGCATTATACACCTTGCCCAGGGACAGCAGTTGAAAACTAGCTTCATAGCTAATACTGACACATTTTTAGAAATGTTCATTAATGTGTACTGTACCTGACAAATAAATGAATAAATAAATAAGCCCTCTGCATAAATCATTACAGATGCCACCACAGTGTGGTTCAAAGTTTTTACAGCTTCCTGAAATCTTTGAAAGACCACACTCTCCTCATTTGATGGCAGTGACGTCCTGTGAAGTTCATGACTGGCGAGGCTCTGAATCCTGTAGTGCCAGAAGCACAATTATATAAAAATAAAATAAAAAGTATATTTTACCTTTGCCTTGTGGTTGGAAAAAAATTATCTCCTATTAATTCCCTTTTACATATATTCATGTAGGTATATGTATACAGATTTATGAGTGCTGAGTTTTATTCATTCGGCCTCAGAGCTCCAAGGCCACAACAAGTCTAAGAGAGAGGGGCTGTTTATCCTATTTTGAGTTTTGGCCATAATATTAGAAAGTTCTCAAAACATTTAGAGTCTTTCTTCTTCTATTTGTTTTTTGTAGAGATGTGTTTTGACACAGACACAACCTTCAGCATTTCCATCATTGTAAGTAAGGAAGACAAACTCTAGCTAGATCAGAACAGGGCTGATTACCGTGCAATAAGGGCTGTATGATGTCTTGTTCTCTCTTTGCAAAGATGTAATAAAATGCATACAGAGTGAAATCCATCGACCTATATATACCCCCCACCTCACCCCAACAGCCCTAGTTAGCAGAATTTAACATAGTTAAAAAGTTTTGGGTTAAATTCTGCTAATATGCACCACCTGCTGCTCAAAATCATACTGCATTAAATGTATTGAGAGCAAGGTATTGTGGGTCATTATCAAAACAATGAGGATCTCTGATAAGGTGACATGTTTCTGCTATGGCCCAAAGAAACAGTTATTATTTTGCCTATGAAGTATGTTTAGGGTTCTCATTTGTGTAATATCGAAGCAGTCAGTTTAAATAACAATAGTTATGCTGTTCTGTTATTAGTGTCGAGTTTTAGAGGTGTTTGGCTTGTGTGAAAGCAAAGTGGGAAATTCTGTTAGACAAGTGCCGTGCAGCGATCCACATTCTGCATAACCACTGATGATCTTCTTTAAATTCTACCATAAGTAATGAAGATTGTTTGATGTTGCAATTCATAAAACAGTTAACCTTTACAACTTTAAAGAACAACCAGATTCTTTACCAGACTGACAGCTCTCTCCTAGATGCTACAATTACTGGGTATACAATGCTGCCATGCAGTTCATCATTGCTGTTTGGCAGAAAACTTTGATGTTAAGAATTGAAATAAACTTTTTTATAAATGAATGCCCTACTTTATACAACAGTGTCATAAAATAAAATAGAAAATAATTACAATAAATGAATAGTTTTAAACATACAAGTTTTCCATCCAAAAGAAAACACTTCTTGATCTACTATGAATTATTCATCACACAAAGATCAATCAATCTTCATTACTCCAAAACAAGCGAAGAACAAAAACAGTGCTCTTTATACTTTAATCCTTAGAATTTGAACCTTTATTATCACTGCTCAGGGGTGAAAGTAGATTTAAATTCATAGAGGACTGATATAAAAAATTACACAAAGAATCAAGAGAAGTGGGTAGGATTTTAGGATGTTTAGGGATTTAGCTGGTCCAGTCTTGTTTGTTGAATAAATCTGTGTTCGACCTCATGGTCTCTTAAAGCTGCAGACCTGGATTTAGTTTGATTAGTTACACCTGGCTTGACATAACTTCACCTGTCGAGTCTGGCTTGGCATTTGTGGTGAAGTCTGTCTTTATTTGTCATTGTGGGATTCCTGAATTTAGCTTTTCTCACACATGCTTTATGTTACGAAAATATAGTTAAAGATTAATTTATATACCTTTTCATGCAAAGATATTGTTTTGAATCGAGTTAACAAGACATTATCTCTGCTGATGTTTGACAAAGTCTCCATGTTTTGAGCGGACAGATAATGAAATAAAACATTTCTTGATGAGTTCAAGTAATGGAAGGATTAGAGGTAGTTAAGGGTGTTAGAAAGTCCATGTTGTTTAGATGTTTTTATGTTGGAAACCAGACATGTTCACAAGTCATTTTTTGCAAGTCCAAGTCAAGTCTCAAGTCTTGAGAGCTCAAGTCCAAGTCAAGTCTCAAGTCTTGAGAGCTCAAGTCCAAGTCAAGTCTCAAGTCTTGAGAAGGCCTGTCGCAATAATCAATTAATCGCACAAAAAATCTAATCACTTGATTCATTTAAAAAAGTGCAATAATTTTCGTGCTTGCTTGTTTCTCCTTGTGTTTTCATCTCCGTCACTGAGACGGTATAGCTTAAAGGTCGCTATTATATCTATGGAATTATCATTATCTTGAACTGCTAAATGAAAAATACAATTAAAAAAAGCACACGCAAAATTTTCTTACATTTACCGGACATTTGTGGTTACAACTTTTCCTAGTTTTAGCAGTAAATGTCTGCTCTTTTATTGAAAATGAGGACTGTGGAAAAAAAAACAATCACAATCCTGCCGTCCACGTAATGTTGCGTCAGTGACGTCAGTGTGTTGCACAGGGAAAAATATGGTTTATGGTTTTCTTTCATTTAAATGTTAGTTTTATGCTTTGCATGTTTGGAGAGGAAGATATGATTTGTTTTTCTTTGTATTTTCTTCTTGAGCTTTGCATGTTTTGATGTTTCTTTTTTATATGATTGTTTTCCTTTATTTTAGACTTTTGAATTTTTCCTGCATGTTGGGTTGTTTTGGTTTGCTTTTCCCTTGTGACAATCCATGCGCACTGGACTGAAGTAGTTGTCTGAGGAGGCGGAGTGCATTAATTGCGTTGCGTAATTGCTGCGCTCAGGTGTGAGCAAGGGCTGATTAAAGCTGACATAAAAGGAGTCTGAAGGAAAGGAGAAGGAGAACGGAATCTGCAGGTGACAGAGACGGACGCGCTGCCAGGGGAGAGGCAGGCGGGATCCGTGCGCACTGATTGCCCAGTAAGAAGTATTAGGGCAGAGGAGGAACCTCGCCTGTAAGTAGCGCTCCCCCTCGCTTAAAGCATAAACAGGAATATATCTTCCGACGGGGTTTTGGCGCGTGGATGCTGGCGTTCTCCTTGCTTCTCTTTTTAGCTGGATCGGTCTGGAAAGGGGTGTGGCACGCCAGGGAGTGGAACCGTGCTGGAGCGCTGCAGAGTCTGTGGATCAGCCAGTGGGTGCTGCAGGCTGATCACTCGCACCAGAAGCAGCATAACAAGCGGAGCCCAACTTCCAGCCTCTGTTTTTTAAGGAAAACTCTTGAATTTTAGGTTTTATCAGGAGAAGAAAATGACTGTTTTATTATGTCACTTTTGCTGTGGCTTTTTGTATAAATAAAACACTTGAACTTGAGTGCTTCACGGTTTGGGTCTTTGAGGTGTTTTTTTTTTTTTTTTTTTTACCTCTTCTGTGTGCGGGTAAGGCGAGCGGCGATCAGTCAAGTTAGTAAAACAAAAAACACTTGAATAAGTGTTTTTACACTGGAATAAAATATTGTTCACAAGTCAGAAATCACGAGTCTCAGTCGAGTCTGAAGTCCTTTAAATGCAAGTCTAAGTCGAGTCTGAAGTCATTAAATATGCGACTTAAGTGCGACTCGAGTACGAGTCACAAACTCGAGTCCCCACCTCTGTTGGAAACTGTTCATTTATACCATAGATATCCATAATAAAGGCTAGATGTCTCGTCGGCGCTGCTGGCCAATGGGGGTCGACGTCCGCACGTGGCGGCCATCTTACCACAGGCAGCTCGCTCATTCGTAACATTGTGTTTTAAAGGCGCATGTACTTAAATAACCATAACTTCCTCAATTGTCTAACTGTTTGGTTTGTTAAACAAAAGTCAGACATGTAGTTATGATACTGCACACTTATGAATAATTATAACCATGGAATTTCATATGAAAAGAACATTGAATAGAACATACAGGTGCAATAAATATACACATGCACAAGGTATTTATGTTAAATCAATATATGCTAATAAAACTCAGTGTACTGAATGGCAACATGATATATAGATATATCTATATAGATATCTATATAGATATGGATACCTATATATATATATATATAAATATGTGTATATATATATAAATATGTATGTATATATAAATATATATATATAAATAAACACTTTTATTTGGGTGTGATTAATTATTTCACAGTCCTAATTTATTTATATTTACATACATACTTTAATAATATGAATATTATTGTTATAATAAAATATGAAATACTGACAAAAAAGGCTTATATATACATATAAATATGTATATATATATATAAATAAAATTATGTATATATATATATATATATATATATATATATATATATATATATATAAATATGTATATATACATATTTATATATATATATATATATATATATATATATATATATATATATATATATATATATATATATATATTTCAATATGTATATAAATATATATATGTATATATATATATATATATATATATATATAAATAAACACTTTTATTTGGGTGTGATTAATTATTTCACAGTCCTAATTTATTTATATTTACATACATACTTTTATAATATGAATATCATTGTTATAATAAAATATGGAATAATGACAGAAAAGGCTTATTGTGTGGCAACCTCTTGGTGTAGAAGCATAATCCAGGTTTCAAATTAAAGGTAACACTTTGAAGTTTCATGTAGACTATTCGGATTATATATCAGGGGTAATTACACAAGAGTTCCTATTTTTAAACCATTATAAAAGTGACATTTATTTGCTATTAAAATTGGTACAATAGTCCCCTTCACAAGTATATATAGATGTAGCATGTTGAAATCCCCACCTACACTACTGTGATGGTATACACATGGAAGACAGAGATTTAAAAAATGACCCAAAAAACATAGCTTGGCTAATGCCCTTTGAAAAGGAAGGTTTTATTGAGCTTCTGTGTAATGTACAAGAGAGCGTTGTCCACAAGGCCATCAAAGCGGACAGGAAGGTAGCTGTGGTCATGTACTAGCGCAGGAATGTCAGCAAACGGGGATGGAAGATCTTCTCCTCCTGCTTACACATTATATAAC